TGAGCCATTTATCAGGGCATATGTTAAAAAAAAGCTGTCCTAATCTCAGATGAAGCAGCCAAAGAAACGTCAATGAGTGCCACAGGCGCGTTTCACTGCTTTTCATAGGCCTTGCAATAAAAGCTAAACAGTTTTAAGTGGCTTTTGCAATTATACTTCCTTTCAATTTTCCAAAGGTTACAGGGCCTGCACCACACAAATCCCATTAAAGTAAGTAGCTGTTGTGCAATATAAGTGCCTTTGGAAACATTCTTCGATGCCCATAAAATGATCAGCGGGCTGCAATGTGGATCCGCTCGCCTGCCATGTTTTCAACCAAAAGCGGATGAGGAGCTTTGATGTGGTGGTTGGTTTCTGCTACTGAAGCTGGAGTTTTATCTTCTTGCACCAGATTTCTTCCCAAACTGATGTGACTCAGGCATTGGAAACACATTTTTTTTTCTGATTTGATTTTATTTCTGAAATATATTCTTACCGTACCTTTAAATTATGCTAGGGTGATCACGGATTTGGGATCCCCGAGTTCCTCCCACAGGACCCAGCAGAAGCAGGCAGGGACTGCTGGGGTTAACAGAAGCCTGCGCAGAGAGCGAGGCCTTAGTGCATAGGGCTCCCACACGCTGCCTGGTCCCCACAGGGTGACTAGGTGTCACTAGTGCCTTCTCCACCCTCCTCCTGGGCCACCTCTGCAGCCCCAGGAGGAGTCCAGAGCAAGCCTTGTGCTGGAGCGGTGCTAGGGCCCCTGTTCCTTCATGTCCCATCTGAAGGCACATGGGGACTCTACCTTAGGCTTCTTTCCTTGAGAAGAGCCTCACATGTGTGCTGATCCCCAGGAAACACCGCCCTCTCCAACATTTTGCTTAAATGATTCATTTATTCTGTAGTTGTTTTTCACATAAGGGATAAAAGTGAAGTCTCATTCCTGCGTCTATACAGGAAGAGGATCTCAAAGCTTCCCATCTCTAAATCTGATACCCAAACTATCTGAAGAAAGAACACTGTAGAAAGTTTATTTTCCCTCTACAGTTAAAGTCATGTAGACACAAAGACAATACCAGCCCTAGTTATTGTCTTTGCACTATTAAAAAGAATAATCAGAATTCAGAAATCACACACCCTTTAAGATTTTGGATGAATTACTCAGGTTCTAATACTTTGAGCTAATTCTACACCAGAATACCACTCTAACATTTCCAACTTTGTCATTTGATTTGTCAAGGGTCCCCATATTTTTTCGATAGGAATACCTGGATGCATTAAGGTGACAGGACATTTACATAAAATGATTTTAAAAAGTTTTTGATGAGATACTAATGTATGTGAGTATATATATGAATATCATGTATGTGTGTGTATATAAATGTGTGTACACATATATATTATATGAATTCAGAGATGGGGGAGGTCAATATGGACTGGAGCTATCCAGAAAGTCTTACAGAGGAGGTAAGATTTGAGATGTGTCTCAGGAAACAGATTTTGGACCTTATCTGAAAATGAAGAAGTGAGAATGTGTTCATGGGGAGAGAGTAGAGATGGATGTGCACTCCTGTGCTACGCTGACCCTGCACGTGCTCATGGAGGCCCTTGGGGAAAATGCAGCAAAACTGGACTGGATTGAAATGGCTGTCCTAGCCCTTGCCTGTGTAATGGCTGTTGTGGTAGGAATGACATGATACACGCTGATCTTCTTTCTTAGATATAATTAGTATGGAAAGCTCTGCCTGGGTGGCAGCTCCTATCTTACTCTGGATGCTTCATTATTTCTCTCTTACACAACATGGGTATTGTAATTTGTTCTTAAGAGTAGAATAGAGGTAATTTGGTGAGGCCCTAAGCAACTTGGCGAGAACCTGTCTCAAAATAAAAAAGGGCTGGGGCTATGACTCAGTGGTAGAGTCCCTGGATTCAGTCCCCAATATGAGGGGATAGGGAGGGAGAAGACTGGCAATACTTGCATATTTGCAATTAATTTAGACCAATAAAATTATAAAATCTGCAAGTACTTTGGATTTGAAACATCATGATTTTGATAAAAACACATTTACTCTGAGGCTTGGTGCATCCCAACCAACAAAGAATGAGATGCATCTAACGTCCCGTCAGAGTCACTCTCCCTGGACAGTGTGGAGTCACCCCTCACTGTAGCTGTTTTCACAAGATGATCCTCCTGCCATGACGAAAGTACACTGTCCACTCCCTGATCCTCAGCCAGGGCCAGGAACCCGAGAGCTGTGTCTACCCAGGCCCTTCAGGTGCCTGCATTTGTAAACTTGTGCAGTTTCTGTTTCCCCGCAGGCTGGTGCAGATGCTGTTCTGTGCTCAGGACAGGATCCGACCAGGTCTGCGAGACAAGAAGCGAGCGAAGGGCAGCTGCTGCAGCGCTCCCTGTTGCCCGCCCGTCGTCTCTTCCTATTATACTTCCACTTAGAAGGACATTTGCCAGATCCAGACTCCAGGGACCCCTGTTATTTGCGTGTCTTTTCTCACCTTCAACATGATCTGGTCTGATGTTTTCATTTGTTAAAAACAACAAGAACGTTCACTGGGAAACTTCTGCTGGCCTGGTTTCAAGTCATCATAGCTATTTATTCCCTGTCATAAACTGTGATTCTCCGTTTCCCTTACTCCCACGTCAGGGGAGTTGGTGGTTTATGGTGGACGGTCAGTGGAATTTGAAAGAACAGTGGAAGATTTCAAAAAACTACTGGGGGATTACATAGCAGGTTGTAGCACTGAGAACAAAACATAAAGTATTCTTGCTCTTGATTGTAGTTTGGCAACACAAGAAGAAACTTAGGAAGACTTAGGAAGCAGCATAAAGGATTTAGGGTTTAAGGTTCTACCTGAGAAAGAATTTTATATGAGGGAAGAAAAGAAATCATGGTATTGACTTAACAAATGATTCCTTTATGTGATTAAAAATAAAAGCTTAGGTATAGTTAGTCTCAGTGGGAAAAACATGGAAGTCAAGGACATTTTGCAGAGTCTTGTTTATTGGGAGCAGGTGTCAGTACTTGCAGAGCCCTGGAAGAGCCAAGGAGATCGAAGTCCAAGCCATATAGCACTGTGGACAGAGTCTGTGAGAAGGAAATGTAAAGACACATGCTTCCAAACATGGAGCTGAGCAAGAGGAGACACGTGTAAGACAACGGCTAAAAGGTGTTTGATCCTCAGTGTCTGAATTCCATAAACTACTTTTACTACTAGCTAAATAGTGGGATAATCAGTGACGTTGGTTGGAGTATTCTAGGTTCTGCATAGACTCCAGAAATTGGGATTAAATTGGCTTCATTCTCAAGATGTGGCTGATCTGATATTCTCACTGAGTGGCAGAGGTGCCATCGAGGCAGGCTTCTCAGGGAGGTCCCTCAAGTGTGAAAAACCAGAGGGGACCAACTGGGCACACCCAGGAAGCACAGAGAATGCTACAGGAATCTGGGTGAGATCATACAAACTCTGGTACAAAGACAGTTTTCTAAGGACAAGAGAAGTTTCATGTCTTCCCTGAAAACACATTCAACAACCGTTATGCATGGGGGTGCTCTAACTAACTGAGGAAACGCCAGGCTCCCCTACTTGGAGCTCCAGGGCTTCCTGGAGAGACAGCTCTGCACAGAAGGCCTTGGAGGCCTGGCTCTCTTGGACTTGAGCTGCACTTTGGATCCAAATGCGAATCCAGAACATGTTCACTTTGTAACAAGAGTATTAGAGCGAGGCGGCTGTTCTGTTCTTTGGACATTGTGGTTGGTGCTGGTAGTTTTGTTGAGAGTGTTCTGCGGTTAAAATCACAGGTCAAGAGACTATACACGTTAAAAATAAATAGCTGAGAGCTACTTTCTGCTGAATTTGGAACAAGTGGCCAGGTTCTCTTTTTTCCCATCTTCACTCAAACTCCTTGCAATTTTCTTTGGGCTGAGCCTTTCAGGGGAGAGGTATGGAAATAGAGGGTCAGTTCCTCAGGAGAACTTTGGGCCTGGGCAGTGGGTGCTGTGGGTCTCTGGGGGCTGTGCAGGCCCTTGGCTGCTTGGGGCTCTGCTGTTGGCTGGACGATGGTGTTAGCACGGTGGGATTCTGCTCCGCTTCACAATCTATCACTCGTATCTAGGGCTTGGTGGGGCGGCAGGAAGGGGCACACTGCTCTCTGACGGCCATGCGCAGGCTGTGTGCCTGGCCTTTGGGAGAGCGAGAGCACAGCACGGCGGGATCCTGGCAGGGCAACACTTAGGGCTGGGATTCTCCAAAGGTCCCTAAATTCCCAGGGCCCTAAGACTCTCAAGTTTGAGTGAAACTGTTTCAGAGATCTTGGGACCTTGTTCCTCATTCTTGGGTTCTCACAGGGTGAGTTCCAGGCTCATGCTGGCTTGGGTTGAGGGTGCTGGGGCCCTGTCCCCGATCGAGGCTCAAGCCCCGGAAGCAGGCCTGGCAAAGCACCGAGCTGCAGGTGAATGCTCCTAGGACTTATCTGCTGTTTCAAGAAGAGTACAGTGAAACAGAAATCTCTTTAGTTGGTGTGAACACAGTTTCTTCTCTGCAACTCTGTGTTTGTGTTCATGTTTGTATGTTTTGGAGAAGGAACCAGGAGCTACTTTTTCTACTTGGTTATGAAACTATAACAATGAACATAATATTGTCTAAGACATGGTCCAAAAAATTCCTCCATCTCTGGTGAAGCCAGAGAACATGGCCAAGAGTGAGATTGTCCTTTAGCTTTTGAAAGGACAGGCTTTAAGGAACATGTAAGCAGAGTCTCTCCAGCTGTTGGTTCAGGTCTGGTCCATGCTTAGAAGCAAAAATCAAGCATCAGAACCACTGGGAGTTCTGGGCAAATGACCTTAGGAGCACCAATGCCAACATTTGCACAAGGAACATAGGACTTTTATAAGGATGCGAGCAAATGAAGCAATCTCTAGAGAACTATAAAAAAAGAAAAAAGAAAAAGTGCTAACTGGGACCTATAAGGTGAATTTGGATCCTTATCATGAACTTCTCTGTTCCAGATGATCAGCTGAACTCAGAGGAGAAGAAGAAGAGAAAGCAGCGGAGAAACAGGACAACCTTCAACAGCAGCCAGCTGCAGGCCTTGGAGCGTGTGTTTGAGAGGACGCACTACCCGGATGCCTTCGTGCGGGAAGACCTTGCGCGCCGTGTGAACCTCACCGAGGCCAGAGTGCAGGTAACGCCTGCTGTGGGTGGGTGGCAGCGAGCACCCCCGCAGCTGCACAACTGTCCAGACTGCTTAGTACCCATGTTGCAGCTTTCAGACCGAGCTGGTACGACTGAGGTTGCAAGTGGGCAGCACAGAGACAGATGCACGCTTTTACCTGTTTGCTTGGTATTTTTAAGAACCAGATGGAATGCATTTAGGTGGGGCAGCTTGGTATTTGCTCCAGGTCCACTCCTCCCTGGTGTTATTGACCCTTCCAGATTCACGTTACATACCCTGTCCATCTGAACATTTGACTCTGCACCCCAGCTTACAATTTGAGCATCAGTTTGGCCAAAGAGGTTAATTCTTCTCAGCTCAGCTCTCCTCCCCGGGCTTTGGGAATGTGCAAACCTTCCAGAAACTCGCTGTGAGTACACAGGGTTGTGCACAGCCTTGGAAGTGGGAAATGGAGGGCAAGGAAGTAAGAACACATTCAAGTAGGTGACTTTTACATCTTCCCCGTGTCCCAACAAGGACATGTAGACAGGGTAAGAGGGAGGAGCAGTTCTGAGCAGCATTCGTGTCATGACACACTGACTGCAGCCAGACATCCAGAAGACGATATGGCTGTGACTGTGTTCTTCAGCAGAGATGACAGTACAACACTGCGGGGTCCTTGCTGCTTTGTGCTCTTTGATCCCTAATCTCCACCTTAGTTCAATGATGTGGGCAGTCTTCTTTATCTTGCAGGTGAGGAAACGGAGGCAGAGAGAGGCTCAAGTCTTTTGCACAAAGTCGCATATCTAGGAGGTGGCTGAAAGAGGATCTGGATGCAGATACAGAGATCCAGAGTTATTTTTTTTTATACAGCAGACGTGAATCAATGAGTCCCCTGCTTAAATGCCTTTTCAAGGGGTGCTTTGCCGTCTCTGCTGACAGAGCTTCTTGTCTTCCACATTGCCAGGGGCAAGCTGCTGTTTGGATCAGGAGGGGGGTCAGGTCTCTCGTCTTCCTGAAGGGACTGATGTTTATATATCCGTGTTCAGTCTGACTCTCAGGGATTTCTTTCTGTAAAGGATAAACCTCTAGACAGATGGGGACTTGAGCCACCTCTAGGGTCTTGACTGGGGCAGTGCTGTGTCTGTCACAAGGCACAAGACACGGTAACAGATGCTTGCTGAGTCGATTGGAGGTCCTGGAGGTCCCTCCAGGTTCCAGAGAAAGTGTGAGAGTTTTTCCAAGGGGGATCAGGGACCTCACCTCAAAAGATCTGCTCCCTAAGAGACAGGAAAAAAAATGTCAGTGACAAAAGAGGAAAGTTCACCCTGGCATGGTGACACTCTCCTAGAGCGCAGGAGGCTAAGGCAGGAGGGCCGCAAATTTAAAGCCTTAAAAACTTAGCAAGACCCTGTCTCAAAAGAAAAAAAAAAGTGGTTAAGGATGTGGCTCAGTGGTTAAGTGCCCCTTGCTCACCTCTTTCCAGAGCAGCACTCCATGAAGGCCCCTAGGGAGTGAAGGGCAAGTGCTTCTCCCCAAGGGAAAGTTTTATAGAATCCATGTGGCTCCTGAGGATAGTGAGGAGGTGTGAGTGAGGTGTGTAGTAACTGGTGGCAGTTCTCAGGGATCAAGTGAGAGTGACCACAGGGACATGGTTCAGTCCAGCTCTGCCCACCCCACCGTCCTGTGATGAACTATGATGTCCCCTTTCCTGCCCCCTCTTTCCCTAGCTGCTCATCACACAGTGCTCTCCAGTCCCTTCTGCTGCCTCTCCATCCCTCTTATGCCCCAACCTCAGCCTGCAGTGGAGTCATGAAGAGGTTCAGGCCAGGAATCCACAGCTGCCATCAAGTCCCACGTTTGCTATGGTGCTCTGAATTTTACAGAAGGAAACCTGAATAATGCAATGGGAGGAATTAAAAAAAAATGTGGAAGTCATGTTTGGGTTGGGAGATCATCTTATCCCTGTCACAATGGGCAATGCATGCAATATACACATTACGTATTATCTGTGGATATTGACTCATATGATAAACAGAGGATGAGGTAAATGTGGATAGATGGACAGATATGGTGGAGCTATTTTTTCTTCCTCCTTTCCCACCTGCTACTTCCTAGTAACTTTCAGGGCTGTGAACATTCCCTAAGGGGAGGACAGAACTGTCCCTCCAGGATCATTCTAACTCCCTGGAGTTCAGCCCTTTCCCTGTTGGAGCCCGCCCTGACTCCAGGCGTCTTCATATTTAGGGCATTTATCATAACATCATGTGTGCTACACTGAGCTGTCTGTGGCCAGCTTCTTCCACTAGACGGTGGAGTCCTCTTGAGTGGAGGTCACGTTTTAGTCATCTTTGTAAAATTTGTGGGTTTTGGTTTTCATTTTTCTTTTCCTTCCCATTTTTTTCCCTGAAACACTTATGGGGCACCAATTATACCATTGGACCTGCTTTTGGTTTGCTGGGTGAAGGAGACCCTGGCCTTTTCCCTGAAGGTGCTCTGTTCTGGGGCTGAGAAGACCCGAGGTGTGATCATAGTCTCGATGCTGTAAGGTGACTCCTGCACTAAAGGAGTGTACAGGAGTCAGCCATGGACCAGAGGCCATGGGGAAAGGGAGGGAATGTTCACTGACTAAGCACCCCCTCTGGGCCACTCTCATCATCCTGGAAGCAGGAACATTACAGCCAAGGAGCAGAGAAATTAAATAACTCTCCACGGTAAATCTTGAACATAGTGTAGTCAGCATTGTTATTCATTTCTGTTGGACCTTAAAAGTCATCTTCCTTCCACTACAACTCTTCAGATGTTAAAGTTGAGTCTTAAAAAATATATGGGCTTTAGCAGCTGGAAGGAGAAGCATGTTGCGGGCAGAGGGGTGTCTGCTGTGATGACGGGGGGGGGGGGTAGAGAGCTGCTGGACCCATGCTGGAGTTAGATGGTGTGGCTTTGGGTGGACAAAGAACTAATTCCCGAACGGGCTTTGGATCTATGGCAAGGTTGTCATTTTATTCTGTCACGGGAGGCCAGTGGATGTTATCAATCAGGGCAAAGATACAGTTATATTGAATTTTAAATTGATAACTGTAATAGCAACAGGGAGAGAAGAAACAGAAGAGCCAGGTCCTGGAAGTCAGAGAAGGGATGTTCAAACCTTTGTGGATTCCCACTGTGGCCCCCTGTGTTACCTGACTCTGGGGCAACAGTCCCATGATGCTTGGGGTGCATGTTGCCCAGAGCTGTGCAGCTGCCTCTCCGTGTGCTGAATCCCTCCCCAACGCCTCGCCAGTGTTTCTATAATTGCACCTAGATTATTTATTTTGTGGTTTTCCATGCATACTCCTCTTCCTCTGTAGACTGTGAGCTGCTCGAGAGCAGAGAGCACGCCTTGCTCGCCCCTTTCCAGAGCAGCACCTACGAAGGCTCCCTAGTGAGTGAAGGAGCAAGTGCAGTTCATTGCCTGGAAGGTCTGGGCAGCATGAGGTGGACATCCTTGACCTAACTCAGCCATCGGGCTGGGGCTGCAGCTCTGGGGGAAGAGCACCTGTCTTACATATGCAAGGCCCTGGGTTCCATCCCTCACTGCAAACAAGAAACAACAAGCAAAAGCAAACACCCTCACCCACCCAAACACAACAAAACAGAAAAAAAAGGACCTTAGCTATTTATTGTTTGTGTGAACTTCAATAGCTTAAGCTCATTGAACCTGTTTCCTTAACTTGAAAATAGAAATAACAGAACATTATTTGGAATTGTCATGTATGTAATGTGCCCCTCCATGTTCCCAGTCCTGGCAGTGCTTAATGCACAAGTTTATTATGCAGTAATAATCCTCAAACCCTACAGATAAACGTAGTCCAGCCAGCTTCTGATGTGTAGCATCCGCATTTCCTTCCAGAACCTCAAGAGACCTCCTTGCCTGTGTTTGGTATGTCAGAAGTGCTGGGATGTTAGTAACTAATGATTGACAGCAGCCAGGGTACAAGCCCCCGGCTCCCTGGCCCCTGCAGGGGGATGACAGAATGTGTGCCACGGTGGCCGGAGTCCACAGGGGCTTGGCGACGCTCTCTGCAGTGCTTGCTCCTGCCTCTCACTCCCCAGTGGAGTTCCTTACACCTTGAAAACAAACCATTTGCTTCTTCAATCCTCGTCAGAGTGTTTGGAGAAATAGATACTTTGCTTTAAACACCTAGTAATGTGAAAGGAGATGACATTTTCACATTTTGAAGAATTTTGAAAAAGTTTTTAGTGAAGTCATTGTATCCGTGGCGGAGGTCTAACGAGATTTTTCCTCTTTTTCTTGATTACAATTATGATAGGAATGATGCCCACATTCTGCTGTGTGATGAGTCAGTCACAGAGCCTGTCTCAGGAGTCCAGATTACTGGAAGAACCTCGTGTGTGTGTGTGTGTGTGTGTGTGTGTGTGTGCACGTGCGCATGCGTGCTGGGGACAGAGCCCAGGGCTACATGCATGCTAAGCCCACACTCTACCAGGAGCTGCACCCCAGCCCCACCAGCCCGTAGTCCTAACCCTTGAGAGCCGTAGGCAGGCCCCGCCAGGGGAGGACTGGGGCATGTTCTTTCCTGAGAGGAATCCAGACCCATGCTGCATCTTCTTTGGGAAGGCTTCACACCGTGCGTTCACATGATCTCTTCCTTGTGTCTCCTCCCCCTCCTCACGCCCTTCTCTCCTCCCAACCCTCTGCCAGGTGTGGTTTCAGAACAGAAGAGCCAAGTTCCGCAGGAACGAGAGAGCCATGCTGGCCAACAAAAATGCTTCCCTCCTCAAATCCTACTCAGGAGACGTGAGTGCCGTGGAGCAGCCCATCGTCCCTCGTCCTGCCCCGAGACCCACCGACTATCTCTCCTGGGGGACAGCATCCCCATACAGGTGAATGACTCACCCACCCTCCCTTGCTCCACCTCCACACGCTCCTCAGCCATCCGTCATGCTCAAAGCTGCGTGTGCTGACATTTCTTACCGGGTTACCCTCTTCAGAGACACTCAACTTGCTGACATCCCCAGAGTTTCACAGGACATTACTAGTTGCCCCAGGAGCAGGGTTTGGGGCAGAAGAGAGAGAGGGGCAGGCCCTCAGCAATCTCCTCTTGGACTCAGGAACTCTTGCAAAGGTTTCAAAGATGGGGAAGAATCTAAAAGAAAAGACCGATATTAAGCCGTGCTCACTGTCCCTTTTTGCAGCCGTTCTGGAACAGAACTACCCCATTTCTAAACTTCAGATAGGGCTATTTCATTATGCTCAAGTAGGGAGTCAACATGTGAGGCTTCACAGTGAAACTGATCTTGAATTAAAAGAAAAGAAAGAAAGGAGGGAGGAAGGGAAGAAGGGAGATGGGAAGGAGGGAGGGAGGAGACAGCGACACCCACACAAGGAAAGGAGAGCTAAGCTCATTCCCATCACTTTGGAGACTCAGTCCTCACCAGTTAGTAGGGGAAATTTCTTAGGATCCCAGACGCTTTCCTATTCTGTCGCCAATTCTGACCTACTTATCTGGAGATTTCTTTGGGGGTCAGTTGTGTGTGTGTGTGTGTGTGTGTGTGTGTGAGAGAGAGAGAGAGAGAGGGTACGCGCACTTGTGCATGTGCACATGTGTGTATGTTTTGCATAAAAAAGATTGTATAATTTACACTAAACTTTTATATTAAAAAGGTGACATTTTTTGAAGAAGCAAGTGGCAGAGTGCTGTTTCCACCTCATTGAGACTTTGAACCTCAGTTCATTGTGCTGTTCAGAACACACTGCTGATGGCAGAAGGCAAACTGAGACACTGTGCTCAGCACCCTATGGCCAGTCCAGGGTGCCTGTCTTTAAACCTAGACCTGAGCGTTCTAAGAAACCAGGTCAAGGCTGCATGTTCTCTTCTGCTGATTTCAATGGAAGAAGTATTCGCAAATTCACTTATTGTGCTTTTTTTAAAAATCTTTTTATTGTCAAGTTCATTATGGGCTTAAGGACAAGCTTAAGACTAACAGAGTATGTCCTGGCAGAAACCTAGCCCCTGAAGTGAAAAGCCACATTCATGAAATGCACATGCTTTCCAAATTTATAGCTCTAATTCAAGCCCAGAGCCTCACCTAAATGTTCTTTCTATACCAAATCAGTTCTTGAGAGAAACACCATAAGTGCATTTGGGAATGTCTTTTATATTCCTTGTTGTAAAATTAAGCTGAATTAATTCTGGTCTTCGTACATGGAGACCCCGCGTTTAGGAAGTCCTATTCTTGGACCCCATTACTCTCAGCCTTGCTGATTTTGAAAGATCAATTATATCTGTGTGTCCTATTTAAAATGTAGACCCTTCTTCTGTAGGATTTACTAAAAATACATTTGAGGACCATTGTGACATCACATATTCTTTAATATCTCTTTTATGAGTACTGGTAGTCCACAGACTCCCTAAATAGCCTGTGGGATGGTCTAGTTCAAAGCCTGAGGCCTCAAGATCTTGGGTGTGAATCTGGTGGTAACTGGGAAGCATTGCTTCTCCTTTCTGCCTGCGTCCTCCTTAGGGTCCTTGCCAGGGAGAAGCTGAGCGCAGACCCCTGCTCGTGGGGACGAAGTCCTCTGGAACTAGTGTCGGGTTAGACACTGGCCACAGCAGAAGCCAAGCCTCAGTGCCCACACCACCGGAATTTTGTAGATGATCATCAAACTGAAGCTATTAACGTGGCAAGTCATGTGTGCCTGTTTTGGAAAAATTCTATTTTAGCTAAAAAGATGATGAAGAAAATCTAGAGGTGTTTTCAAAAGACCATACTTGTATCATCTTGATATAGCTAGTTTGTTCATTTCTGCAATTAGAGCTCAATATTTTATATAGTGTAGGCTTAGTGTACATATTATTTTGTATTCTGCTCTTTTCACTTAAGATCATATAACCTACTACTTCTTACTCATTTCATCATGTGCTTTTATATCACTTCTCCCTTAGATACAAGAGTTTGTAAAAATTAAAACAGTATTATAGAACCTGATAGTTCATATTCTGTATGAAGAATAAATTAATCTCCAAATTTAAGTAGAAAAGTGATGGTTTAATGCAGTAAATTAATATGGTTTTTTTGCCCTAATGTTGTCTGAAGTGTTTATAGTTTGTTTAATTTTTAAAAGCGGCCAAACCCATTTTGCTACCTGGAGGTCTTCTTGCTGTTTAGAATCAAATATGTCATGATTTCACAGTTCAAATCTTGCTAGGAAACATGACTGTTGTTAAAGAAATACAGAAGAAAAACAAGTGATGAAAAGCCGAGGAATCAATAGACATTTTGTGTTATGGAAAATTCACTCGCTATTTCTTTTGGTCCTTATGTCAAGTTAGTGACATTCATTAAAAAGCATTTGTCTTGGTTAATCTTTGGGACACTCCTGTGTGATAACTCTGTCCTTGCTCCAGTTCCAAAGAAGAGGAGGCTGAACACTTGCCCAAGTTTAAGTCTTCAGGAAACAGTGAGAACCCGTGCTTGTGGTCCCTGTTTCTGTCCCACACCTTAGGACACCTGACTATTCTCATTCAAATTGAACCTGCACTGTATTGGATGCAGCAAATTGAACTGTTGAAACCATTGTTTTGAGGCAAGGTCTGTCTCAGATGGGTGTATGGGCACTCCACGGGATAAGCCCTGTGGCTTGCTCCTGCAACCTGGGGACTATGAGCAGACAGTTTTGCCAGAGAGCAGCTGGCTGACTTCCAGGGCTCTTCCCTGAGAGGAGAGAAGGAAGCCAAGGCACAGAACACTTACTCTCTAACGCTCAGAACTCTGGACTGGGGAAGAGCCAATGAGTCTTTTTCCTGGCTGTCATTTGCAGTCAGACTGGTGGCTGTATACCTTGTCATCCAAACTGGGACACTTTTGAAAGTGAAAGGGAACTGGTATTGATAATTTCCGTAGGATGGCGGGCATAAACTGGGCTTGTCCGTGGCAAACTGAGACACATGGTTTACTCCAAGGCATGTCATGGACTTGTTCGTTCCTTGAGCGTTTTACAGGAGATGACAGGCAGGACTTGAGTCACCAGAGGAAGCAAAGCATTCGCGAACATGGATGCCTCTTTCTGGCAGGTGTCTTCTTTATTTCCCTGGGGTCAGCTGAAGGAATCTTTCTGGAACACATACCCACCGCTTAGCTCAGGACAGTTATGAGAACGACCCCACGCACAGGCCCTGCGGCTGCGAGGACTCGCTGGTAGAGCGCTTTGCCTCTTGGGTAGCAGTGACCAGCCAGCTCTTGGACTGCCGAATGTTTTTTGAGATGAAATAGCTAAGACACCCTTCCCCAGAGACCTCAGTTCCTGTGAGAGCAGAGAGCTGGCCCGGCTCTGCAGCCCTGGCCCAGAGTGCTGCTTGCGGAGGGAGGGCTAGACGAAAGCACCAGGGCAGAGCTCCCTCCCCTTCCTCATCCCCGTCACTTGGTGGTGGTCCTGGTGCGGCCTGACATCTGCTGAACACCTTGGCTCATTTCTCGCTTTCACACTTTCAAACATAGATCCTCGTCCCTCCCAAGATGTTGTTTACACGAGGGGCTTCATAACGGATTCTAACGGAAGACACTGAAAAGGTAACTTGTCAGAGGGGGAAGAGGGTGGCTGCTGGGGGTAGGGCTGAAGGGGAAGCTAAGTGTGTTTAAGAAAGTGGGGGTTCAACTCCTGGAGATGTGAGCGGTGAGGTCCTACAGCGGGGACTGTGGTGAGCATCAGAGCTACCGGAGAACCTGTCCTCAAACCTAAGGGTGGCGTGAGTTGAGAGCACCACTCCTCACATGTGGCTATGCCTGGGACTCGCCTGGGACCCCGTACCTGGAGACTGGGGTCCACTAAGCCTAGGGTGGGCCTGAGATTCTGCATCTGCAAGTTGTTCCACTCCAAGATGATGGAAGTGCTGTCCACACACAGGACAGGCCTTACAGAGTGAGGCGTCAGGTGACTGACTGTAGGGTATGCCCCAGCAGTCAGAAGAACTAAGTTCTCATCCTGGCTCCTGGCAGATCATTGACTTCTCATGTAAGCTTGTATCAAAACTGATCCACTAGCTTCCCTATTGCATACGAAAAAGAAATATCAAAAAAAAAATCTGTACAATAGAAAGATGCAAAGCATCCGCATGCCAATATTTGCATATTTGTGTATCAGACATTTCTAGAAAGAAAAGGGAAAGCTTGCAGAAATATGACTAAACATGTAGTACACCCTGAAGACTGGCTGATGAAATGTGGTCCAGGCGTGTCCAACTTGTAAGAGCTAAGTATACACCAAAAAGCAACCTCTGAATTTCAAAAACAGAAGTTGCAAGTGATTGTTAAGTTCTCATAAGAACGTTTCCAACAGGATGTAAGGGCTGTCACTTCCATAGTAAGTTTCCCGAGGAAAACCAGTATTGAATTTTCTTAGATGGAGCCTCCACTGTTCTTGTACTGCAAAGAACGCACCAAAGAGGCGGCCTCTGCCCTCTAGACCACAGAGCCTGGGAAACTGAAGGCTCTGCAGCCTTTGAAAAGCTAAGTCCCCGCAGAGGAAACCTAGATTCCCAGGAAGACCCACAGACTTCTTAGGCTGACAGATTTGTCTTTGGAGTAAAAATTTAAACAGCTTGTCATCGTTTGTTCTTTGTTCAGCTAGAAGGCCACGTTAAAGTTGAAAACATAGTCAAGTGCTATTGTTTCCCAAGCCATCCTCAACTGTTTTGTGATTTGTAGGGTTTACACTACGGGTGGCGAGAAAGCAGAGGGAAAGATGTCCCTGAGTCTCCTGGCTTTGAGATCGTGCCATGAGTGGGCTGCTGGGGGCCTCCTGGGTGTCTGGCAGTTAGTTCAGCACATTTTCCCTCACTACAGCCTTTCGGAGCAGTTCGATGGATCATGAATGATCCGTCCCCAGTGAAAACCGTCCTTCAACCCTGAGGGCGGGGCTGGCATTGTGCTGCCTGTAGCTGGGCCACATCTGCTAGAAATCTCCAAATAAGGAGATGGAAACATTCCAAGCCCACTTCAACGTGTCAGCTCTGTGGAAGTCCCAGCACCCCCTATTGAGTCAACAGACGGGAATCAGCCCTTCTTTTCCATCTCCAGTGTTTCCATGCACGTTATTCCAGTGAAGTCCTTTCTTGGTCACAAATACAGAGACCTTTACTAGAACTTAAGTAGAAATGGGCTTTAGCTAAACCCTATAAAGTCAGGGCCAGGAATCAGCTCGAATTGCACTCTGCCTTACTCAGAAGGTAAGCCCCGCTGGTAGGAAGCTGGCTCTCTGTTGTCTTATGCTTAACCTACGATAGACATCAGTTTCAGTCTTACCTGTTGACCCCAGGAGTTTTGATAGGAAGGAATGGTCATTTCACGTACTCTGAATGGCCTCATAAATTGGTTGAAAGCAGCTAATTGCCCTGACAGCTCTCTCTCTTGCAAGATGATGTTTCAGTGTTCTTTCTTCTCCTGAAGCAGAGCCTTAGGAGTTTCCATGACATACGACAGGTGGTCACCAACAGTGTCTCAGATTGGCAGCCATGCAAGGCTCTCTTGCATCTGCTCTCCCTTTAGGAAGCAAGTCCTCTCCCTTGGCTACTGCCATGCTTAACGTGCATCTAGGCTGCTCCTTGAACACCCACTCAGCAATTCGTCTTTTCTGACCTGTGACAAGTTGTGTCCATCACTGGTATGTTGAAGAACCACCCACTGTCTGCCTGTAAAGCACATATGGAATTGTAAGCCTAGACCCAGTGGAACTACTATAGGGAAGAGAGGCAATTCCTCAATACGTGTGCAAAATAACACTGTGGTCTCTATTTGAAGGATGATACATTCTAAACATCAGTTAAGAGGCTGGGATGAAGGTGACCTCTCTTCTTTTATCCTACCAATCCTATCCAGATTGGTTTCTTCGACATTTACAATTTTTCTAAAAATTACAAGTGAAATGTTATCCCTTCTGAAGCTTCGAGGGAATCACAAAACCCATTCATTAATATAAACAGCTTTGTTCTCCTCACACCCCACTAATGGGAGGATTCCTATACAGACTCGCCCCTACTGTGGTGTTCCTATGATGGCACCACCATACCACTGGGCAGGCCACTGTTCTCTACTACAGAAGCGCAGGCTGCATCATTCAAGAGACAAAGTCTTGGGAGCATCCTGTGCAATACATGATCCTAATTCCCTACTAATTCATCTTTGAGTAAAAAAGTGGGTCAACATTCCTCTGAGTTTGGATTTTGTAGTCTGGCCTGCATTAGAGAGAAAAACTCAGTATTTCTAAGAAACGTGCTACCTTTTAAGTCCCAGACCAGAATCCCTAATGACACAGGTAGTAGATTGTGGAGTAATGAGCAAAACTGGCACAGAGTAGACAAAACTTCAGTCACTGCTACTGCAGACATTTCTGGAAAACAGTGGAAACAACTCCAGTAAACTACCGTAATCTCCCAAGGTCGCAGTTTGCTTTGTCTGCCAAGAAATAGAAAGGGTGAATTGCTGTTAAGTAGGACTTTGCTTGTCTAGACTCTCAAAGAACGGAAAACACATCTCCAGAATTCGGCCAAGTCCTCCATGGCTGTCTGCACTTTGCCACCAGAGCTCATCTCCATGTTCTGTCATAAAGTTTTACCATGTGTGCTCAGAGGCCATTCAATTCCACCCTCAGTACTTTCCAAATGATGCAGATACCCTGTGAGTCCAGCTTCTCCCTGTGTATTTAAAATGGCACCTTCTATGTATAATCTTCAGTGCTTTATTCTCTCATACTCCTGGTTGGGAAAGGCTAATTTGGCTGATTTTATAATAATCCATGATTTAGATATATTTCCCAAATCCACTCATCTCTTCGGTCTTTGGTGTGTCCGAGAAATTCCTTGACAATGGGTTTTATGGATTTGCATATATTTCTGGCAGAATCTTGAGTGGAAACATGTAATCAGTCTAGAAGCTAAATGATGATATGTGTATGAGTTTTGAAAATAAATGGCATTTCTTGGTGCATTGTTAAAAAAAAAAAAAAACCTTTCCCTATCTTAATGGGTTATTCTGGTCATTTGTTTCACTCCTAATTAATCCCACTTTAACTGGAGACTCTTCTGCCCGTGCCCTTTGGTGGAGAGTGGGGAAGTGATAGTCTGTCTCAACTGTATGAATATTGGTTTAGTTTTACTGTGAGAAGATATTTTTGTGTATCCCAGAATATGCAGTGACCATCCCCTTTTGCCATGTCCTTCTGACTTCGTTTTTTCCATTAGGAGAGCGAAATTTACAGCAAGGATGACTTCTAAAGAGTGAAAGCACATTGGTCAGATTAGTTTTTAAGAAATCATCACTCATAGCAGGATGACAGAAACCAGTGATAGTGATCAGGAATCGGTTAAATTGTAGCCCATCTGCATACATCTCACTCGTCTCTTCACTAAATAGTTTACTGAGTGCTTAGTGTGTATGAGGGGCTGGTCAGCTCTACCAAAGGATCCAGTTGTGAACCGGCAGAGGTGGTGTCTGGTTCGTGGAGCTTACAGCTGAGAACAGTGATAGATGATGGAGAATTTAATTAAGTGGGGCTGGGGCAGTGCCACAGTGGTAGAGCACTTGCCTTGCCCACATGAGGCATTGGGTTCGATCTTCAGGACCACATAAAAATAAATAAAGATATTGTGTCCATCTACAACTAAAATAATATTTTTTTAAAAAAATTAAATGAAGTGATAAAAGCAGAGTGTAGGGTGCTATAGGAGGACCTGCCTTGAAGTAGCAGGGAGAGCATCACGCAGGGGCACTGGGTAAGAATGAGCGGGCAAAATGAGGAAAGGCAGCAGGCCTGGTGGCACACACCTGTGATCCCAGCAGCTCCCGAGGCCGAGGCAGGAGGTTCGCATGTTCAAAGCCAGCCTCAGCAACTTAGCAAGAACCTGTCTCAAAATGAAAAATAAAAGGGCTGGCATGTGGCTCAATGATTTAGTGCCCCTGGATTCAACCCCCAGTACCAAAAAGAAAAGAAAAGAAAAGAAAGAAAGAAAAGAGAAGGAGGAGGAAGTGAGGGAGGCAAGACTCTGTAACCCTTCTGAGTCTTCTGTCTGTCGTGCACACACACACAGTCTCTGTCACACACACACACACACACACACACACACACACTTGCTCACACGCTTTATACCCGTGCGGCAAGCTGAAGATTTGTATTTCTGGAGAGAGGGAGTGATCCGTAACCTTCTATATTTCTTTATCTCCATTTTCCTGGGCTAATTGCTAGTCACCAAGTTGAACTAGGCTACGATAAGTCTGGACTGTTCGGGAGAGGTGTCAGGGATCTGTCCTTCTTGTAGAGCAGCTTCAGTTTTCTCTCTTTCTGATCTTGTCACTTGATCCCAGAGCCACAGGCTCCTGTGTGGCTGACAAATTCCACTGGAATGCAGGCCCCAGAAAAGCACATGTCATTCCATTTATAAGTCTGTCTATCCACCCCGCAGTTGAAAAGGATTTTGCGATCTTAGAAACATTTTCATTTAGTTAAAATTAGTCTTCTTTTATCCATTCAGTATAAAGGAAATAATCTGAGTACAATTCTGCAACACCATTTCTTTTTTCCTTAAAAGAGATTCATGGATGCAGTGATCAGAAACCCACCAGGACAGGGGCTGGGGCTGGGCTCAGCGGTAGCGTGCTTGCCTGGCATGTGTGAGGCACTGGGTTAGATTCTCAGCACCACATATAAAGAAATAAAATAAAATTTTTAAAAGAAAGAAATCCCCCAATGACAATTTTATGCCCAGTTCTTGGTCCTAAGATCAGTCTTTGACAATGACAACGTCAAGTTTTTGTCGGCAATATTGACAGTGAGAAACAGTTATCTCTAAGGTCAAGGTTGCTGAAACTGGAGCCTTTGATACTTTATTTTGGAAATTTAGACATTTCCAAAATAATTGAGCCAAAAGCAGCGTGTGCTCCGCAGGAAGTTTTGGGGAGAGGTCAGGACATTGAGGCCAGTCAATAGGCACCTCTTGATTCACAATGCAGGTATTATCAACCAGGGAATCAAGAAGGACTGGGAAGTTCCACTGGGGTGCTAACTGATTCTCTGAGCACATTACTTCTCATGGTATTTAATCAATTACCTAAAATGTGTTAGAATTACAGCTATTTAGAGTGAAGCAGCAAATTTTCCTTTAGTTTTTTTGTCCCAAACTTGCATTTCTGCGTCACCCGTCCCATGGGCTAGGGAATGGAGGCAGGGAGATTAAATGCTGTTTTAATTAGTCAGCTGATAAAGCACCTGCTGCTCAATTTGGGCAGCTCTCATCTGTCACCCCAGAAATAAATCATTACTCACTGTACCCAACACAGCAAGTGCCCCTCCCTCCCTCCCTGGGTCTCATTCTCCTCTGCTTTCTCCTGCCCTGAAAAACACAGCCACCTCCCCAAGTGCCTTAGACTAATGGAAAGCCCCAGCTGGGAGAGACCTATCGGTCACCTAGTCCAACCCCTGCCCTGCCCTGCCTGGCCCCGTCCTGAGAGTGCACCCACCCGGGGCCTGGACTTGCAGCTTCATGAAACTAATGCCTGTTATTCTCCCTGCTTTCTCCTTTGTCCCCACAGCGCCATGGCTACTTATTCTGCCACATGTGCCAACAATAGCCCTGCTCAGGGCATCAACATGGCCAACAGCATTGCCAACCTGAGACTGAAGGCCAAGGAATATAGTTTACAGAGGAACCAAGTGCCAACAGTCAACTGAGGAAAAAAAAAATTAAACAGGCCTAAGAAGAAATCAAAAACCATAAGACACCTATCCTGCTCTGTCATTTCTTCATCCGCTGGGAAAAAAAAGTAAAAACAATCAAACAAACAGAACTAACATATTGGGACCATGGCAGAGAAAAACAGGAGAGGAGCAAAATGAAAATTAGTTAACAAATGTTCCTCCTCCCTCTGGAATTCCACCACCATTTGTTTCTGTGTGTTTATTTTATTTTTCTTTCTATTCATGCTTTGATTAATATACTCCAAGCTTCTTCGGTTAGGGTCAGCCCACCCACTCCCATAATCCTGAGAGGTTTTGAAAAGGTCTGCGGCAGCCACAAAGCCACGTACACACAGGCTCAGAGAGATGCCCCAGGCCTTGTCACCAACCTGTGAGAACCTCAGTGCCTTACTCTGAGCCCCTCCCACTTCTCTCCAGGAGCTTTTGCAAAGCCAAAGTCTTTCTGAAGATCTGTGCCTCCCATGATTCCCTTTTCACTCTCTCTCTGTCTGTCGGTTATGGTAAGGTTTTCTTCCGCCAGCTGCTGGAAACAAAAATTGTGTACAAGTTTGGTCTCTGGTCTGTCTGATCAGCGTGGCTGGCTGTGGCTGGCTGTGGCTGGCTGTGGCTGGCTGTGGCTGGCTCACTCTAAGCTCTCGGCTCTAGGTCTGAGCTCTAAGCTATGCACCATAATATCACCAGCAACACCACCCTGCCCCGTTTAGACAATCAGTCATCTTGAGTTAAAGTTATTTGTTGTCACAGGCTGTTTGGTAGAGGAAATATGTTCACTGAGAGGGAGAGAAATTTCTCTAGGAAAACAAAGACGGAATTGTGAAAGACATGGCCTACTTCTCTTTGGTGCCTTAAGGGTAGTCAGATGTGCACTTATATATATATACTGTACATATTTATATATATATATATATATAAAATATTGCAAGCTTGAGTCTGTAGTTTTTCAAATTCTACAGGAAGCAAATTTCACACCATCACCACAGTCCTGATCTCTGCAGTGATGAGACATTAGTAAGGGATCTTGCTTCTTTTCTTATATTCTACACAGAATTCTCATTAAGGCCACGCAGCAATTGGCAGGGCAGTTGTTTGAGAACAGTGTCGTTTTTGCATTAGGGCTTTAAATGAATTACAAATTATTTGAGAGAACAAAGATGTCCTTGAATTTGGAGCTGGGGCTCTGGTTGAATGCTGATATATTCTATCATGGGAATTATACTTAGAGGAGGAAAAGATAGTCATCTGCTTTCTCCACTCAACAGAAATACGAAAGACAGGACACATGTTTTAAGTGGAATATTTAAAGGTTTGTCGAAATTCCAAAAACTTTAAAGGCAATTGTGGACTTTTTTTTTTCCTTAATGTTTTGAAGTAAAGTTTAGCATCTAGGGTTAGGAGCCAAGACTGATCCCTATTTCTTTCTCTCTGTTTCCAGCCTTGCTTTATTAACTTGCCAGGTGGACTTGACCCAACCTTATTGCCATGCCGTGCCTCAGTTTGCCTGTTTATAAAATGGGTTTAGCAATACCTCCCTACCTCACAGGGGTGTTGTGAGGCTCTATTCCTGTGCTCCTTTAAAGATTTCTGTGTTCTCTGCATGTCCAGCACTCTAGCCTTGGGAGGAAGAGGACTATAAAAGTGTACAGTGTTCATGGAGTGGTGCCATACCAGGAAGCCTTATTCTCTAGCAAGGAGATGCTCCCTTGCTGTACATACGTAAAGCTTTGTATTTGGAAGCAAGAAACAGGTTTATATTTTTAGATGTCTGAGAAATCACACCATTTGACCAAAGAATAATTTAAGACATGCAAAATAGACATATATTAACTTATATTCTTATCCTGGCCAGCTTGATTCTAATACATTTAGTTACCTGTGATTAGAAATCTTTAGATTGATTTTGGCCAAATATGCCAACTGTGCATGATAAGTGACAGGCAAGAACTTTGGGTGTAAGATGCACTTTTAGCAAACATTTGTATTTCCCTTGGCATATCAGATTGAGCTAATGGTGATATTTTTTCCCAGACTAACAGCCACTCATCTCAAAATGTATTTCAAATGTCTATTCTGTACTTCTTCCAATAATAAGAAGAAAGCCCATCTTAGGCATTTTGCTTTCACAAACTGGTCCCCTCTCCCTTTAACCCACTATGAAAACATTTCTTAGAGAATGGTTCACGTAGGTGAACTGGACAATTCACATTAGGTTGGCTGGACAATTCACATTACTTGCTTCTGAGAAATCTCTCGACTCATTCTTCTGTCCCATGCATTTCTGTGGATTACTGAGTTTCAAAGGAATAGTATGACCTTACAGATGGAAACATTATTTGATTTGTGAAGTGAGTGCAATCCAAAAAAATGATGAATTTGAGGGGTCTGGAGTTTGGAGAGAATAGCTAAAGGAGGATTTGGGTTATAGGTAAAGAACAGAAGTCATGCATGGAAAGGGGAGACGCTTAGAAAAGACAGTTACGTAAAACAAAATCTTTTGAAACCTTCATCCTGACATACGTTTCCAGTGGTCTACAGTAAATCCTGGCCCCATAAACCCAAACGGTGGGGGAAACTGGGAGGTTCTGTCTGACACCTTAGACAAGCCATTTCTGGGAATTGGAAGTGATTGGTGCCGGTCAGGCATGGGACTGCCCATTGGTAGTAAACCAACACTACAAGCATCCATTATTTGAGCACTTGATCAAGAAGTAAACCATCTAGTACTAGCACTCGATTTACTATTGATTTTTTTGAAAACAAGTTTGCTATGTGATTTGGAGAAGTAGCTTCTGGCTGTTAAACCAGTTTTCAGAAGAAGGTCTCAGGGCCAGACCTCAAGGCCTGGTCATGCCCAGACAGAGATGAGCACCATGAGCTGTTGCCCCACCCCCCTTCCAAACAGGATGCTGATGTGTAGGGTAGTCGGCAGGTTAAATTAAATCAGAAGAAGAAACCTAATAAAAAAAGGAATGACATAATGGTATAAAGATCTCTTAAGAAATGTAATATGTAAATTATATCTTGCTTTATGATGTAAAATATACATTGTTTGCGCTAGAATAGAAATGTTTCCTTTTCAATAAAATGAAAGAAGGATATTTCAGTGTCTTTTGTTATGTACATTAGAGGCTGCTGATTCTTTTCTTTCTGAACTTCAAAAATACCTATCTGCCAAGATCTAAAATCACATTCAGAAGAGGTAAGAAGCTAAGAAGTGCTGATAAACAAGAGAACTTTTATCAGAGTATGATATTATTTCCTATAAAAGGGGGAAATCATGTGTTATTCTTCAAAGACAAAGACAATGGTGGGAGGAACTGGGTAGGTATGGAGCAAACCTTTTGTGAGAGTCCAGCAAGCTTTACCAACACGTTTAGCACCCACATTACTTGATTCTATGTGACAAAAATACTTTGTATAGAGCACAGCCTTTTAATTTAGAACAAAGAAATAGCACAAGAAAAAGCTTTAAAGTTGTACCTAGCCCAGGCTGGGCGGTCCAGGGGAGAACAGAGGGTTGCATATGTGGCACAAGTTCTGCTTTTCAAAACAATTAAAATCTAATTTAAAGGCAGCTCTGGCAAAGACAAGGTTATACAACTGCATAAGACAAGTGTCAAACAAATAGAGCCAACAGAAGTTTCCCGAAGATGAGGAAAGAAAACATGGTGAACTGAAGAGGAAGAAAGGTTTCCTTGGGGATCTGGGGCTTGAGATCCATTGTTAAGAACTTGGGGGGAGGAGAGGGGGTCTGGGGAGTGGAGAAGAGGGAATCAGGGCAGGGACACAGGAAGGAAGAGTTTGGATTTAGGGCGAGATGGGCCTGGAAAGGACGGAGAGCCTGTTTTAAAGCAGAACAGGAGAAAACACTGAAGACTGATGCAGAGCCTTCGTCACCAGATAAGGGATTTCCTCAGGCCACAGACATCCATGGAAGGTTTTTAAGTAGGAAAAAAAAAAGCCATGCAAAAATTCAGCAATTTATCAGGGTTGGGTGATTCTTATAAAAGAATGAAAGTGGAGCAGAATAGGACCTGGGAACAGGGTAGGCAGAGATTGCCGCAGGGGCCCGAAAACAAACGAAGAGGAAACACCTTGCAAGAAAAGAATGAAGAGGGCTTGTGGGGCAGTAAGAGCACAGACAGCGCTGGTCTGAGAGCTGGTGACTAGGAGAAGGAGTCACTGGTAACTCCGGCAGAGCCCAGCAAAACGAGGGGAGACCCAGTGTCAGGGAACACTCCAAATATAAGTACTCTGTCAACACTGTCAACGCAGGAAATAGGTCTTGATACCAAGGTCAAGGATGGAGGTAGAAGTTTGAGACTCATTTTTTAAGGATATGACATTTGGAGGTACAAAAGTGAATGGGTTCTTCAAGATGAGAGAGCGCCATGTGACTCAAATTATCAATCCCAATTAGTGGATGTTAGAAGTAGCTTCAGCCCCAAGAGCCAGGCTGAACTCTGAAGAATGTCTATAATTGGGCAGAGGGTTACAGAAGTCAAAGGAGCTGTTTGAGAAATAGAGGAGGATCAAACTTTTCCTTTAATATTCCAGAGTTAAGAAAAGAAAGGTTTCCAAAAGGGGGAATGTTTAATGCATCCAAATGCTACGGAGCAGACCAGCCAACTGGGAATGAGAGCAAGGCCATTGGATTAGTGACTCTCATGAGACCAGTTCAATACAATGTTGGAGGGAGAACGTTGATTTAGCAAATTACAGTAAGAATAAGTGCTTTGAAACAATGAGAGCCACAGCTACTGACCACTTGCAGGACACTGAAGGGATAAGGATTCTTTCAGCTGCAGGTGGCAGAAACTCACCCAACTAGATAAAGATCACAGAGAGGGTTTATGAGAAGGGCAGCTCACAGCCCAGAAGGTCTGCTGGAGTCAGAGAGGACCAGGGATCCTGGACACTGCCACAAAGCCCACGCTTTGTCCTGGTCTGGTTGGCTGCTCTACCAAGATGCAGCATAGACACAACAGACATTCGCATCTCACGGCTCTTCAGGCTGGAGGGCCCGAAGGTGAAGCTCTTCTTCCTGGGCCGGCTGTCCACTTCTGCAGCCTCCTGTGGTGGAGAAAGTGAGCCCTAGTCTTGTCTTCTTCTGATAAGGACATTAATCCCATCAAAGGGGCTCCACTCTCAGGGCTTCATCTGAACCCAGTGACTTTCCAAAGCCCCACCTCTGACCACCCCACTGGGAGTAGGGTTTCAACATGTGACTTTTGTGAGGTCACAAACATGCAGTCACACCCTTAGGCCAGATAAGGCCTGTACCCTACCCTGCGTTCCTCCTGTGCCCTCTGACTGTGCTGTCCCCTGGGTGGATCATGCAGGTGCCCTCAGGAAGCCTATGCCCCCATTTCTAGACCACACTCAGGCACTTGGGATTTGGAATTCCCCTGTTGAGAGCCACAGCCGAAGGGGCCCCAGCAAACTTCCAGCTGCCAGCAAACTTCTAGCTGCCGGCTGATGATTGGCTCACAGCGGCCCCAGCAACATCTAGCTGATTGGCTCCTCTGCAGTGATGCTCATTGGGCTGTTTCCCTGCCCTTTCAGACCACGGAGCTGCTCATTGGGGGACTTTTTTGGCTCCGCCCACGCAACCCAGCCAATCGCCTCAAGAGCAGGAGGATGGTGGGAGGTGGTGAGGCTTGTGGGAAGCCGGTGGTGGCAGTTCCGGCTCTGAGGGTTTTTCCTGAGGAGCTGTTTTGTTTGGGGTGTGTGGTTCTAAAAATAAAGTTAGTTTCTTTTGACAAGTGCTCCTGATTGTGCCCAGCCAGACTGCGGGCAAATTTCAAATTTCACTTTCTAAAAATGACCCAAAGTCCCACACAGGGACTCCTGGTTCATGTGATTGAACAGTGGCCAAGAGGTTCATGGGGACAGGGGGTGCAGATAGACCTGAGGCATGTAAGCACATGTCCACTTCTAGTGCGGGTAGGGCAGCAGTGAGGAGTGGACAGACCTACTGAGCATCCCCACACGGCCATGTTCTGGAATGGAATGCCCAGCAGTCTGGGAACAGGGAACCTGGCTTTTTAGGTTTTAACGAAGGTGTGTTTGTTAAAGTAGAACACGATCTGTTTAACAGTTTGTTAGCTTGATTTCTAACATAAGCATGGAAGTCAGAACACAGGCCTTCAGTTTGTCCTTTGGCCCTGAGCACTGGACTAGAACAAGGTGTCAACACTCTGTGATTCTTTCCTTTGTCACCTATTTTCTTGTCTCTTATTTTCATTGTTTCTAACTGATTGGTCTTTGAGCAGACAGGAAACAAAGCTAAAGGCCACTTGGGGCTCACGTTCTGTTGAGAAACAAAGGGTCTTCTGTGCTGGTTCTCTGAGCAGAACGGTCCAACACAAAGATTCTCGTTGGCCATGCTTGGGTTTCATGGATTTTGTGAAACTGCACTGTGGTCAGGGCAGTGGGGTCCCCTGATTGGCCAGAACACTTCAGGTGGGCTCTTCTGGCTGGCAGATCCCCTGGCACCAAGTGACAGTGGTTGAGCATCAGGAGCAGCCTCCTGGGAGAAGGGGAAGTGCATTGCCAGGGGCGGGGATGACTGGTGGTCGCACTGCACACCCAGCACCGTGGGTCTCAGCTCCCAGGACGCCCACCTTGGTCCCACTGACTGTACCTTAGCCAAGCGTGGTGCCAACAACTCCCTGAAGCGCTTATCCCAGCACTTAGGGGCGCACACATTTTCCAGTCGTATTTGCAATGGTCTCTCACAACTCTGCAGTCTATAGACAAATTACTGTTTGAACTATCCCCAGGAGTGCCGAGAAGAAGGGTGGCCACGGTGAGTTTCCCTTCAGGGCAAAGCAAAGCGGGGCTTACATTTAGTGTTCACTTCTCATGGCATATGACACCGGGAACATGGAGGATCCAGCCCCTTGACAATGGAGTTCCTCGGCCAGCTGGTCTACCTGCCCCCAACTTCTGCCCCCTTCCACCTTTCCCACCACAGCCAGGCCCTGGGGAAGCTCTGCCAAGAGCTGTGCTGCCCTGGTCTCTCATGGCTTAGTGACACATGCCACCTTTCCAAGACCTGACTCAACTCTGTTGATTCAGTGACTCCATAACTGGTAACCAAGGCCAGAAATCTCGCCAGGCCATAATTCTTGAATCTGAATCCATCACACTCCACTGTTTTTTCTTTTTTAACAGTACTCTGAGATCTGCTCATCCACCTAGGACCTCGGTTTAAAGACTTCACCCTAGCCTTCGGCTTTTGGACAGAAGGAAGTTTGGGGCCCAGCTGTCCCGCCTCTGTCCTGGGAGCACCCAGAAAACTGTGACTTTCAGTGGGCAGTGGTGCTGGGGGTGGTTTGTCATAACAGCCCAGTGGAGAGCTGGGATAGCAACAGAGGTTTGGCAAACAGCTCAGAAAAGAACCTTCCATTTTTTTTTTCTCTTGTTGCTCCCTAAGTGTCAACGCCATATTTCAAACCTCATGCCTTGGCTTGAGGGGGGGAAATGCACTTAGAATTTGGCAGATTCTGACCCCAGTATTGGAGAGCTGACTATGAGCTGCCATCCTCCACGTTCCCCAGATGACCACAGGCCATCCGGTTCTCAGCTGGAAGGTGTATAATTGGTAACACTTTACGTTTCAGTTCAGGTGTATTTCAGCTGTAAGTGGCAGAAACCCAAATCAAATCAGCCTAAGATGGTTTCATGAGGATTTGTGGGACGGACAGTCCACAGAATGAAAGGAAGAGCTGTAGAAATCACGGTAACTGAGAATCTCAGGTGCGGGTCTGACATGTGACATCACAGAATTCTGGCTCTGGCTCTGCGGTCAGGTTTCCTCCATGCAGCATGGAAAGTGGCTCCCGGAACTTGCAGAATGACATTCACTCAGCTTTGGAAGAAGTTGAGAAACAAGAAACTATTACAACAAGCTAAAAACTGGTTCTATGGTCCTCGCTTGGTTTATGCACCCCCGGGGCCCAATCACTGTGCCGGGCAGGTGGGGTGGACTGAGTTACCAGATGGGGTCCTGTCTCTATCAGACATGGCTGAGCACAAGTGCAGCGCCACCCGTGTCCATCTGCAGACCAGTCTCTACTGCAGTGCTCCTGTG